ATCTACTCATGAGTCTTTGCGTTTTTAACGTGTGTTGTTATCGTCGCTTGGGACTCAATTCCCGCGCGTGCGCAGGTGACGACTCTCCCGCTTTAACGCATAACTATTGCACGATGCTCAAATGAGAGGTATGTTACTTACGATGTGGTATAATCATGTTATTCTTGATATGCACGGTGCGTGCAAGGCCTGCAATAAAAACGAATACAAATTATATCAAGCACTAAGCATATAGAAATAAATGTATATGTGTTAGTACAAAGGGTCGAGTCAAGGACTATATCACGTTTACTATACCAGCGATCGTCGCGGGTCGGACTTTACTAGTAATTAGCACCAGAACGGTGAAAACAACTGTAAACTTAATATCCAGTCTCCACCCGTATTATAGAAGCCGTTCCCTTTTGTGTTCTATTTAACTTGAATTATTCTGAGATACCTTAAACGAAACTGTGAACACAATGTATTTATTTACACCAGATAATATAAATGAAATTGTACAATATAAAATTACATTATTCATATGTAAAAAGAAACAACGACATACGACAGTAGAAAAATCGCGCCATGATTATATATAATAAAACATGTACGACCAAGTTTATCGCGAATCTCGTCACGTGACCATGACGTCACATGTTTCATTATAGATTTTTTATATTAAAACAAGCAAACGAACATATAAATTGTTCATGTTAACTTCAGCTTATGAGGGGAATATTTATAGGGAAACAATTGCCTTGTTTCCGCTATTAAAATATAAGAAAGGTGCGGATAATAAGAGTTCACTCAAGTGTAGTCAGACTGTGTTTGAAAAAAAATACCAAAGTATGCAGTCGACAAACTTCCCCAAGCGTGTGGTCGCCGTTCAAGTTCAAAAATGAATACCTTCAATATTCATTAATTGACGTGAGTAGTTTGCATTGTGGGAGGTTCGACTGACTCGTGCCAGCCTTTTCGCATCTTTGCAAAACAAGTGTTGCATTTGTCTAGCTGTCTAGTTAGCTGAATCGAATAAACCTAAAATTCAATGCATTTGTTAGGACATTTATGTTTTGTCAAATATAAAGCGTTTAATGCATATTAAAAATCCGTCTTTCTGTCCTTATACTCCGGAATCCATTACTGGATTCCATCGGATTCTAGTCCTTTCGCACATGAATATGTATGTACTATGTAAAATGTGCATGCATGTTGAACTTAATGCAACATAGACATGGACAGTAAATCAGGGGTTACGTAAACGTTAGACGAGTTCCAACACCTTTACACATTACTTGGCAGTACGTCAGTGTCGAATAAGTTTTTAACGCATTGGGCTATGGTTTAACTTAAGCGCAATTTTTAATTTCCAACGCACAAATTATTAGTTGTTTCATAAATAACGCACTATACAGGTACTGACTCTGAAAATACACCGTTCCTATAAGCAGTGCCCTCTGTCGACGGAAACTTGTTATATTTTACGTGACGATGATTACACAATCAAGCTCCGTTAAAATGTCCATCGTTGTTAACAATTTATTGCATTTACAGAATTTGAAAGCATAATATATTTAATTGTATTCATACATTTTAATGGATATTTGACACTCGAACGTGTTGTCTCAGTGTATTTAGTAACCTTGGTAACCGTGCATAATAAAGTACGTTTGGACATTTCGGGTGGAGACTAACCTTCCGGCAGATTCATAATGTCTATTGGACTGGACTTTTAGAAAGAGCCTAGACGCTCTGTCGCGGTTATATTCATATCATAAGAAGAGAGAGTCTAAATTGTTTTTATTCTGACGCTTGTAGCGAACATTTATCTGAACGCAAATATTTCACATATAGGCCGGGAACGGCATATTTTATTCAAAATGTATTATTTCGACAGTTTGTCAACCTATTAATTGGGTAATAATTTATTCATCATGCATTGAGAAACAATAATGGAAGCAGTTAAACGTGGTTCATGGTCTGTGTCATTCCTCAGCTCCTGAGAGCGAGGTTATTTGTAGATATGCTGGCGATCGCCTCTGTGTTTCCGGAAGTAATATGGGGGATTGCATGATGGGAGTGGAAAGTCTTTTGATCAGTAAAATAATTTTAGAAAAGTAAAAATTAGAGTGACTGTGAAATGAAAGTTGGTTTTAAATATTAAATATCGTGGAATCTGGATGAAATAATGAAAGGAAACTGAAATGGTATGAAAGGGCAATAAATGTAGCCAGAATGCAAGGTCAGCTTCCGGGGTCAAAATATGTCACAATACATCCATCAAGGCGGTTGCAAAGTGTCAACAATTATGGATGAGGTAAAAGACTTCGTTTGCAGTTTGTGTGAATGGCCGGGGAGAAAAAATCATGCAAATTCTGTGCTTCAGTAACAGTATTTGCTACTTTTTTGTGAAATGGAAATTAAGAAATGCTGCCAAAAGACATGTCCTTCTAGTAAACAAAACAACCTTGGGACGTTTATCTTGAGAAATTGAGAAGCAAAAATCCCTTGGGACAGTCGTTCAATTCGTTTATATTCAATTCGTTTATTTAAAGTCAGTTTGAAATACCTAGCCAACGGCTAATATCACTGACTACTAAAAATTACATCAAACAAAAGCAAAAATTTACAAACATCAAACACAGAGAAAAACAACAGTAAGATTTCACAAATAATCATTTAAATTCGTTGTGAAACAATAGACATGCTTCGCCAGGGTATCAAGGTTATTTTGATTATTTGATGATGGAAACTGCTGCTTTATGGAAGAGCAAAGTTCAATGTCATTGGCACAGTAATGACGTTTTTAGAGGGGTGACTCGCTAGTATTCGCCGTGACTCCGGACTTTTCATTTGAGTTTATACAACACTTACTTGTTACTATCAAGAAGGTTTAAAGTCTTGTTTGTATTTGCACAATGTAAATGAGGGGTTTATTGTCAAAATATATACAGGTGCTTGTATGCCTATTGAAA